CAAACGATTGAGTAACATTACAACACCGATTTACTTTTAGGACAAACATGGATTAAGAAATATCAAGCAATTCTTAATTGTAAAGATCAATGTGTCACTATTACAAAAGATAATGGTTCAAAACGTATTCAATATATACCAGCTTATGATGATAATGACGGTGATCCACATCGACAATATAATGTCCGATTAGTACATGATGTTACCATTAAACCTCGAACAGTTCAACCGATTGATGCTATTTGTCCATCAATTCTAAATGCAGATACTGTTATATTCCGTCCACGACAACAACTTCAAGAAGATTTTTTAATATTGATTTCAAATAGTTTGTTAAATATTTATCACCATCGGACAACATTGAATATTGTTAATCATACTGATACTGATTGTGTATTACCCAAGAATTCAAAGTTAGGTAAAGTTCGCCATGTTCGATCAGCTAGTCTGTGTTGTAATGTTACTCAATCGTTTGAATCATTAAGATCTGATGCTGTTATACAAAGAATTGAAGAAAACATTAATACATTAATTAAACATTTGCAACCGAAACAACAAGAATTAATCCGTCCAATGTTATTACAAGAATGGAACGTTTTTGACACTAGTAAACCATCTCAGGCCGCGAATTTGAAAACAGAACATCGAATTATAACACAAGATCATCCACCGAATTATCAATGTGCTTATCGTGTCCCTGAACCCATTAAACAACAACAGAAAGAATTAACTGATGAAATGGAAAGAAATGGTCAAATTAATCGATCTCAATCACCATGGGCATCCCCAGTGCTACTAGTGAAGAAGCATGATGGTAGTCCCAGATTTGTTGTTAACTATCGCAAACTGAATTTTATTACTATTCGAGACAGTTATCCACTCCCTCGTATGGATGATACTATTAATCAATTAGCCGGATCCAGATAATATTCAAAATTAGATTTAAAGAGCGGTTATCACCAGATCCTCATTGATTCTCGGGATAAAAATAAAACTGCTTTTATAACATCATATGGACTATTTGAATTCAATATATTGCCACAGGGCTTAATCAACGGTCCACCTATTTTTCAACGAATTATGAATGAAGTATT